CACATGACTCAACCCGCTGTGGCAGTGGCGGGAGGCTGGGGTTCCACAGAGCGACGGGAAGAGGGTGGCATAGAGACGGGGAGGAAAGATGGAATGAGTGGAGACAGATGTCCGGAAGTGAATACTTGGACGCCAGAACGGTTCTGCCTGACCACACGTGGTCTTTACCCTTGACGGTGAGCGTGGCCGAGGTCCTCTCCTGCCCGCACACGCACGAGTACTCCCCGGCGTCCGCCGTGGCCAGGCCACGGATCTGCAGCTCACACGTGGTCCCGTCCTGCCGCAGGCTGTATCTGTCCCCAGCTCTGAGGGTCTCAGATCCCTTCCTCCACTCCACAGGGGCCGCCTTGCTCAGCTCACACTGCAGCGTGGCTGTGGCCCCTTCTGTGGCCTCCATGGTCTTCAGATCTTGAATGAATCGAGCTGGAAGGGCTAGGAAGGGCCACATGGACACAAGCCATCAAACGCTCTGGTGGATTTGACGGACACAAGCAGAGCGTCCAGGAAGGAGACGGAAGCCGGAGGGCTGGAGGTATGTGGCACGAGGCGGACCACAGAGCATCTGCCAGTGAGGCCTTCCCGAGTGCCAGCTGCGAGGGCCGGGAGAGCTGGGGGAGGGGCTGCGTTCCAGACCTTTCCTCTTCCCAAGGACATCTTGTCCCACCCACCACCTCTCACTCCTGGGGAGCAGCACAGGCTCCTCCGATTTGCAACAGTGTGATGGACTCCTCCCCCACCCCCGGTGACCACACAGGTGGCACCTCCGTGGTCTCGACAGTCACTGCCCCACTGTTGTCCCTCATGCGGGAGATGGAGGAGACACCCCTCCCTGGCAGGACATCATGCGTCCCACACGCCGGGACTCACCAGCCCCTGTGAGGCCCAGCCTCCTCCACCTCACCTCCCTCTCCTGATCCCACAGACCCATGCTGCTACCCACTGCCCTGGCCCTCGTCACGCAGACACCCGACCCCAGCCGTGGCCTCTGCACCACCCTGACACTGCAACCTGCCACGCCCTGTCCCCCTCCAGGCAGAGCGAGAGCTCTCCTGGGCCCACCTGGCTACCCCTTGTTACGGGGTGACCTGAAGTCAAACGCTGAAGCCCTAACCCCCACTACTTCAGAATGCGACTGGTTTGAAGACAGGGTCTTTAAGGAGGTGACTGAAGTTCATCGGGTCAGGAGGGTGGGTCCCAGCCCACAGGAATGCTGTCCACGTAAGGAGGTTTGAATACAAACACAGGAGGACAACCACGAGAAGACACGTGGGGGAAACAGCCGTCTGCAAGCCAGGGGGAGAGCCCGCAGAAGGAGACAACCCAGGCGACACCCAGATCTCAGATATCCAGTTTCCAGAACTTTAAAAAAAAACAAACAAGCCGGGCGCGGTGGCTCACGCCTGTAATCCTAGCACTCTGGGAGGCTGAGGCGGGCGATCCACCACAGCTCACCCATTTATCTACCATTCATTCATCTTCCCATCCACCATCCATCCATCCATTGATCCAGTTATTCACCCACAGCTCACCCATTTATCTACCATTCATTCATCCTCCCATCCACCATCCATCCATCCATTGATCCAGTGATCCACCCACAGCTCACCCATTTATCTACCATTCATCCTCCCTCTACCATCCATCCATTCACTATCCATCCACCTATCCATCCATCATCCATCCATCCATCCATGCATCATCTTTCCATTCACTCACCCACCAGCCATCAGAGTCCACACTGCAGGCTCTACCAGGAACTGGAGTTGGGAGCTGAAAACAGGCCCCCATGTGCCTTGTCTTTGGGAATGGGGTGGGGTCCTTGGGGGTGGACCCCGGGACATGGAGGCTCTGCCGATTGAGGGGGCATCCCAGACACCAAGGCTGATGCCCGTGCTCCCGTGTCCAGCCCCCGAGGTGACCATCCTGGAGCCCCTGCGGGAGTGCAGCTTCAGTGAGGCCAGGACGCCCGCTTCTGGTGCCGCTGTCCAGGGCCTCCGGCCAGGAGCCCCGCTGGGCCTTGGGTGGGTACCCTTGCAGGCCAATGAGATGAACGACATCACGGTGGAGCCGGACAACCTCTACTTGCTCACCCCTGCACAAGGTGGGGCTCCTGGGACCTGCCTCCACCTGGCACCAGCTCCATTCGGGAAGGTTCTTCCAAGGGGATTGGGTTGGGGAGGTGATAAGCCCCTCTTGCTGGGGCTTGCCAGATGGTGGCCCCTGCTCAGTGAGGATGGGTCTGCCAGGGCCAAGCATGTCTCTCCGTACTCCTGCAGGTCACCCTCGAGGATGCTGGAACCATCAGTTTCCAAGTGGGCTCGTGTAGGCTCTGAGGCCCAGCTGAAGGTCACAGGTGGGCAGCCTCTCCCGTGCCTGGCCACTCTGCCCGGGGAGGCCCTTGCCTCCTGGGCACCACAGCCTCTCACCCATGGCAGCTGGTGGGGGCAGAACCCAGGACTCCAGCAGTGACCGTGTCTGGGGCTGGCAGTTTTCCAACCCCTGGCCACCTAAAGCCACTGGACTGGAGAGGCGCACTTAGAGTGGGCTGGTGACGATCACCTTGAGAAGTTCCAAGGGCTTGGGGGGCCGCTCGCCAGGATTCGATCAGGGGAGGGAGATGGGGACCCAGCAGCCATAGGGTCTTCCTGACTTCTGCCTTCCAAACGCCTCCCCCATGACACAGATCACACACGTGCACAACATCCGTGTTCACATGCTATTCAGCCCCCGACAGGCTCAAAAGTGTAGGAGCAAAAGCATGCCTGTGATACATGTGCAGACTTGGGCAAGCGCCACAAACAGGATTTCAGGAACCGTCAGTTTGGTCATACTTTGCCCTGAGCTGGTCGTCTCTGCCTGAGTGCTCCTCCTCCGCTGTCTGCTCCTAGGCTCAACTGGTGCCCCATCCACCCATCATCCATTCATTTATCCATCTATTCACACACACCATGATCCATCCACCCACTCTCCATTCATGTATCCATCACGTAGTGTTCATCCATCATCTGTCCATTTACTGTCTTATCCACCCTGTCATCCATTATCCACCCCACACATTGATCCATCTGCAATCTGTCCATCCACCCATTTGCCCATCCACCCATTCACTCATCTACTCATCCATCTCACCATCAATCACCTATTCATCCATTCACCTGTTCACCATCCATCCACGCTTCCACCCATCCACCTCCATTTCACGTGTCCACCAGCCATACTATCCACCCATTCCATCCATCCATACTTGTACACCATCCACCTATCCGCCTTTTTACCTATCCATCTATCCGTACCTTCCATCCATCTGTACACCATCCATTCATTCACCTGTATACCCATCCATCCATCTACCCTTCCACCACCCATCCCATTCATCTAGTCCACGATCCACCATCCATCCATTAACCCATCCACGTTTCCATCCACCCACCATCTCAATCTGCCATTGATTATCATCACCCATCCATCTCATCTATTTACCATCCCACAATCTATTCATCCACCTCCATCCACACCTTCATCTGCTATCCATTCAACATTGAACACAGCCCTACTTTGCCAAGTCCTGGACCTCAAGAATGGTCCAGCCCAGTGTGCCCTCAGGAGCCCCCACTCAAGCTGGGGAGTTTCACATGGAGAGAAGTGCTGTCTGCATCCCAGGGGCCACCCCACTGAGTCTCCGGGGTGATGGATGAGCAGTCATTCTGTGGCCTTGTGGACGCTGGGATGTTTCCGATGCCAGTGCCCTTGAGTTGAGTTGAGAGAGGGAGGGAAGAGTTTGCAGGTGTCCTCGAGCAGGTCAGGGCAGGAAGGGCCTGGTGTGGTCATGGTGGCAGCTGTGCAGGGGCAGCGTGGACTGGCGGCTCAGCCCCCTCTGGCGAGGTTAGCCTGGGTGAGCGGCTCACGTCGGATGCCGGCTGTGGCCTCGGGGCAGGCCCCGGCCGGCCGTGTGGCATGGCGGCAGGCCGGGGTGTTTGATGGCGAGTGAGCTGTTACGAGACGAGAGTGAAGA